TTGACTGGAGATTTCCTTTCTTTTTGGACATGGAAAAAAATGACCCTGTATAGGTATTTTGGGGATTTATATTTTCAGTCTTATCTCTTGCCATTCATACCTCGTTGGAAAGGGGCTTGCAACCTCGGAGAGCATGCGGGGGAGGGGAGAGAAGAGGCAGGGCGGGGGTTTAGGCGGGGGCGTAACAGGCCAGATGGGAGGGGTCTGAGCGTCGGGGGATTGGCAATGGAGGCAGGAGGGGGGAGGCTGGGGGGTTGTCATGCGTTGGTGTGCAGCTGGGAGAGTTGAGATGACCAGATGCGATACAGCACACCATCACGTGGCCCGTGTTTGGCTTTCGTTTCGCTGCTGTAGTGCACCACTCCGGCCCTTTAATTATTCGCCCTTGGTGGGCACATCTCCAGTGGCTCCTCGCCTTGGTGAGCCCAGTGTACGGGCGGAAACGTGTCCGCACCTATTTTCTTCGCTTGTGCTGTCATTGAAGGTGGGTTCGCACCAGCCGTGTTTCCTTGTTTATTTCGAAGCAAATGGAGATTAATGTTTTTTTCTGTTTCGAGATCCTGGAAGTGCATGTACATTATATTTAGTTCACCTACATGATATCACTACTTTTTAGGATTGATAGTCTCGTGTTTATCATAATCTTGATCTTCATCTTCATTCGCTCCTTTTACTTAAGGTGTCTTTTATTATGCGATGCACGTAATCCTTCAGCTGAGCAAGCGCACGTCTTTCCCTCCCAGTCTCACTTTCACTCTGTTTCACTCACTCCGCGAAAATCGGCTTCTTGTTTTTTTTCCCCTCTTTTGCTTCTTGTTTGTAAGATTAATGTACTCTTACTCGTACTCGGACACACTCACACTTGCACTCACCCTCACGCTCACGCTCATGCTCATTCTCATTCTTATTCTCACATACGTGCAAGCACACAAAACACACACACACACACGCACGCACACGCACACATCTGACACACACACACACACACACATATATGTATTGAATATTGACTATATACAATTAAATGATACTGATGCTTTGTATCTTGTATCCATGCAATATGAATAATATTAAGCTACGTTCATTATTAATTTCACTGATTACAAGCATATTCCTCTCATGAAATATGTACGTTGTAAGAGTTAGGATAAGCTGGTACCTTAACCCTTGCATTAATTAACAATTAGTAGGTTAATTATATTCGACACAAAGCAGCACAGGCTTAAGCGGGGTGGATGTGGGGGGAGGTTGTGAGAGGGAGGAAGACGAATAGAAAGAACCGAGATGAATGCAAAGAACCAGAAAGAGAGAGAGAGAGAGAAAGAGGGTGAGAGGGTGAGAGGATGAGAAAGTGAGAGAGTGAGAGAGTGAGTGAATGAGTGAGTGAGTGAGTGAGTGAGTGAGTGAGTGAGTGAGTGAGTGAGTGAGTGAGTGAGTGAGTGAGTGAGTGAGTGAGTGAGTGAGAGAGAGAGAGAGAGAGAGAGAGAGAGAGAGAGAGAGAGAGAGAGAGAGACTATGAGAGGGAGTATGAGAGAGGGGAGGGGATAGGGAGAAAGACAGAGACAGAGAGAGAGAGAGTGATAGCGGGTGGGTAGTTGCATGGAAGAGTGAATGAGTCAGTACGATTAAGAGCGTCAGCGAGAATAACAGTGAAAGACAAATCGGGGAGAAAGAGAAACAGGTTGACAGATAGGCTATTCTATCTTGTGATAGCTGAAAGATAGACGGGTGCTGATAAGTGGTACGACTGCAGCTTTCACGGAGAAAACGAAGGAGGGTAGCCATTATTGTTTGTTGTTTTTTGTTTATCGACAGGGAAGCAGTGTCCTTCGCATTCCGTTTACCATATTCTCCTTTCCACTTCTCCTTCAACCCTATCTTTCTGTTAACCTTCTCCCTATTACCTCTTTGCTCTATCGTATAGGCTACACTACCTCTTCTCTCGAAAAATGCACACACCCCTTCCCCATACTCAATAAAGCCAAGTAGTTAAAATGTGTATGAAAATAATAGCAACGCCTGTGAATTTTATATATTTATGAAGCGGATAATGGGAAATTTTGTATTTTTGTTGATCACTTCAGCCAGTTGAGTTAATCTAGTTTAGAATACAGATTATACGGAATTATATTTGCAGTCGAATGCTGGTATGGGTATTCGCACTGGCACATGTATGTATGTAGATAAAGATAAAGAAAGAAAGAGATCGTGATGCAGGTGCTGATACAAAATTAAGTCGAATAATAGGTTCATTTATATAGAATGATGGATAAAAGGTTGGGTATTTATATTATGATAGGTTTATGATATATGAAATTAACTGAGCACCAGTAATCGTACAGAATCCTTTCATTATTAAACTTTTTGCACTAGCATTGCGTTCAGTGTGTCATTTCCGAATTAAGAATTATTGCATTAGAAAAAAAATGTGACATTTATATACGTATCTGGTGGAAAGTCCGCATTGTAATTAACACGTGGCAGTTGTTGTTACAGAGCAGAGGAAGCGTTGATATAAGTGAGGTCTGTAATGTATATGTACAGAGAGGGTGATAGGGAAGAGGGGAAGGCAGAGAAGGAAAGGAAGGGGAAGTAGGGGAAAGATTGGGAAGGTAGGGGGAGAAGGGGAAATAATGAGGGAGGTAGTAAAATTGGAAAGGAGGGAGTAGAAAGGGGAGGGCACATAGAGAATGAAAGGAAGGAAAAGGGAACACAGGGAAAGAAGGAAGGAGGAAAAACAGGAGAGAAAACAGGAGACAGGAAGACAGAGAGAAGAAGAAGGCGAGATACACGGAAAGAAAGAAGAGAGGGAGAGGAAGGCTTTAGGAAAAGAGGAAGGGAGGGAGGTAAGAATACAGGGAAAGAGACAGAGGAATAAAAGGAGGTAGAAGGGAGAGACGGAAGTGGAAAGAGTAAGAGGGAGGAAGGGACTTGGAAATTGGCGGAAAAAAAATCGACGGAGATATACAGGTGTTGATAAAGAAATCAAAATGAAGGGTTGAGAGAGCGGAAGTGAGTGTATAAGGGAATTTGGTGCTAATGGAAATGAAGGCTAGTGAGAGGATGGTGAAAACGGCGAAATGGAAGAATGTTGTAGTGAAATGGGAGTCGAAGAAATAAATAAATGGAAAACAGGAGAATGGAGGAAGGATAAGGGAAGTAGACTGGGATAAAAAATAAGACAGAAATAGATAGATAGATCGGAGAGAGAGAGAGAGAGAGAGAGAGAGAGAGAGAGAGAGAGAGAGAGAGAGAGAGAGAGAGAGAGAGAGAGAGAGAGAGAGAGAGAGAGAGAGAGAGAGAGAGGCTGCAATTGGAGTACCAAGGTCGCATGACCTATGGCATTAGCACCACGGTAATGACAGGTATTATTTCAGTGCATCTCTGAAAGATAGGCTTCAAGAGGGTGATAGCTTGATGGTAATGATGGAAAAGGAAGAGCAGGAAGAGGAAAAGAACAAAAACCAGGAGTAAAAGGCATCGAAGAGGAATAAAAGAAGGAAGAAGGATAAGGAGGAGGAGAAGTGCAGTTATGAACGCAGGTAATTGGGCCGTAAAAGTGAGGTTGTAATCTCGGGAGGCGTCGGGGGTGCCTGGCTTGTTATGTTTCGTTAGTGGATGATCCTTCTTCCCTTTTTAGATTGCCATTATTTTCGCTCGTCTGCAACATGACCTAGTCCCTTGCAGCCGCGTGGACTTAAAGAACTTGAAGCAACGTCTCTGAAGAGTGCATGCAGAAAGCGGCATTTCCATTGTCTCATTGCTAAGCTGCTGTCGAGGACTTATCGCTGTATTAGTCGTGTGCTCTCGTGACCTTACTCAAAGGCCAAGGAGGTGGTGAGGCTGGGCCAGACGGCTCTTCAAGGAGGTGGTGCCATGCAGAAGACGACGATCTGTCTCTCTATTCTCTCTGCTATCTTCACGCACCCAGCCATCCACCCACATACAACAATCATACATATCTGTGTGTGTGTGTGTGTGTGTGTGTGTGTGTGTGTGTGTGTGTGTGTGTGTGTGTGTGTGTGTGTGTGTGTGTGTGTGTGTGTGTGTGTGTGTGAGTGTGAGTGTGTGTGTGTATTTTATGTATGTCTGTATATGTATGTGTACACACACACACACACACACACACACACACACACACACACACACACACACACACACACACACACACACACACACACACACACACACACACACATATACACACATACATATACATACAAACGTGTGTGTGTGTATGTATGCATGTACATACATGGACACACTCAGCCCTCCCTTTCCTTTCTCCCATCACCCTCTGCCCCAATCGCCCTCCCTCCGACTGTACAAGAATTTATATTGTTGCGCTAAAAAAAGCTGTTGGCGGATGTTCTGTGATACAACAAGTGGGCGATATTTGTTGTGATACCTGCAGTGTGGAAAAGGGGGAGAGGGAGTGAGGGAGTGAGGGAGGGCGAGATAGAGCATAGGGATGATGAAGTTGAGAGGCAGAAAAAGAAGAGAGGCAGGGGCAGAGACAGAAGGGGGGACTGAGAGATAGAAGGGGAAGGGAGAGAAAGGGGGGTGAAGGAGAACGAGGGAGAACGGATAGACTAGCGATAGTGGCGGTTCCACTCTGGGCGCCGGATGATTTCAAAGTAAAATAAAGCCTAAGGATGCAAGAAGTTCCTCTCAAACCTTTGATGAGTTTCATATTTCTCTTTTGGAGATGTAACCTCTTCATTTTGTTTCGAGGAATTCGCAAATAAGCACACTTTCGCTAAGGTAGTAAATTTCTGTGTGAAGGTGGGTAGTTAAAGAAATGTATTCCCCAGAAAGTACTACGTGAGTTTAGGTGTTTGACAGCCATTGCTTGAAAGGTTTTAGGAAAAAAGTTATTAAATGTAACATTGCTTATTATTTCCCACGTGAAACTGATTATTTTAAAACATTTTTCCTCTTTTTCTCTGGCGGACCTACAAGTGTCCATTGTAATGTATTTTTTTCCTCTATTTTTCCAGGTACGTCTGGCTTTTGCCGAACTAAAGGTAAGGGAAATGAAAAAAAAAAAAAAAGAAAGGCAGACAAGTGGATACCGAAGAGATAATGTGTACCCTTTGCGTATGGTGCCTTAGTGCAAGATGGTACCGGGGTATGATGGTGTTGCACTGCCGTATTACTGCATTTTGACATACTTTTTCCATTTCATAGAAACTTCAGTTTACCTTATACCCTACAATATATATGTGTATATATAATCTTACATGTATATATATGTTATTTATATGTGTATGCACACACACACACACACACACACACACACACACACACACACACACACACACACACACACACACACACACACACACACACACACACACACACACAGACACACACAGACACACACACACAGACACACACACACAGACACACACACACAGACACACACACACACAGACACACACACACACAGACACACACACACACAGACACACACACACACACAGACACACACACACACACACAGACACACACACAGACACACACACACACAGACACACACACACACAGACACACACACACACAGACACACACACACACACAGACACACACACACAGACACACACACACAGACACACACACACAGACACACACACACAGACACACACACACAGACACACACACACAGACACACACACACAGACACACACACAGACACACACACAGACACACACACACACACACACACACACACACACACACACACACACACACACACACACACACACACACACACACACACACACACACACACACAGACACACACACACACAGACACACACACACACACAGACACACACACACAGACACACACACACAGACACACACACACAGACACACACACACAGACACACACACACAGACACACACACACAGACACACACACACAGACACACACACACAGACACACACACACAGACACACACACACACACACACACACACACACACACACACACACACACACACACACACACACACACACACACACACACACACACACACACACGCGTGTCTCCGATGGACACTAGTGACGTCAAACATTGACCCTCGTTAGTATGCATTTCATAAGCACTCATTATGATTCAGCTTGCACACAAATAGCGCTAGGTAATGAATTAAGTAAGGGATGACTAAGCTAGTAAATGTTTATTTTATATCGCAAGACAATTTACATATATATAATGAGAAAAGTTTGACTTAATTTTATTCCATATATCTATTTGTTGTCTAACAGCAATATCTAGGTACATATAACAACTTTAAATCTGTATATTTGATACTATATTTATTTGTCTGGGAATGAACGTAACCAATAATTCAGTGTAGATATATAGCTACTGAAGTCCAAACTCATTGGTTCCAACTCATAAACTTGCGTGTATGCGTGTGGGTCTGGAGCATGCACATGTGTTCGTTTGCATGTTAGTAGGTCTGTGTAGTAGTGACTGACCACAGTAAGAAAATACAAAGTTTAACACGAATGCATTTATACATTAATTTGCAAAAATATACATATTTTCCTGATGTGCCTATTTTCATTCACTTTTTCCCCCCGTTTTGTTACACTGACTAGTGTTTATGTATATATTTTACGTAAGCCTACTTGAACTGCAGAGATCATAAGTAAATGGGAAGAAAGACAAATATCATTCAATGTGTAAATGCAAACCGAAGCAGCTGCCAACAAATCCTCTGACGGCATTTCCACGGGCTATGTTTTTGTTAGTGGAGGTATTTAGATGTTGTCTTTCCATTTTACACCTGTTTCGAAGAAAAAAAAATGATAATAACAAATGTATATTTGAAATCTTATTGAGTATGGCTTCACCAATGTCGTTCAGAGGCATAGTGAAGAAATAAGGCAGATCGTATATTTTATAGTGTTGTTCATTTTAACAAACGTTGTAAACATAGAGAGATTATTAAACATGTGTAGGGATACCGAAATGCTATAGATAATCGAATGAAAAGTTCAGGCTCATTATTAATCAAAGTTTCACCTTGACGTCGTCAGCGAAATTTGGGTGTTGATTGGCTAGATAGCATTTGGGGGAGGCGGAGAAAAGATACTCGTTGCCGGATCACGGTGCTGCCTTAAGTCGGCCCCGGTCTGATAACCTGCCTTTCGGGGCAGTGAGGGAGACTTTCAATTGCTAATTGCGTCTTACCTGCGTTCACCTGAGCTCGCCTTCGCGCGACCGGCTGCACATGGGAGCTCGCGGAAGGTGAAAGTTGGGTGATCTATTGTGCTGTTTACTCGTGCGTCCGGGGGAAGGCGTCTGCACATGTGCGGACGTAAAATAACGCATACATAATCTTGTGCCCATGCATGCATTAGTGGTCTCACACGTACGCAGACACACTTTACTTACACACACGCACACGCACACGCACACACACGCACACGCACACGCACACACACGCACACAAACACACACGCACACGCACACGCACACGCACACACGCATACACAAATAAACACACTCGCACATAAACACACACACGCACACACTCGCACTAACCCGAACACACACTTCACTCACACTCACTCATTTGCGTATAACCGTACACATGTTGAGTGCCTGCGCCTAATGTGCCTGGCAGAGTGAGTCTCCCAGGCTGGGATGATGCCAACGCTAGGCACTCGGGGGCAACTGAGGGTACGCGAAGGCCTAATTACCTACTCAGGAATACGCGCATGTCTCTGGTGCATGTCTTAACTGTATCTAGCAAGTGTACATATGGTATACCTGCATGGCGCTCATACATCATTATACACGTCGAGCAAATGGTACACGGTCTTATATTATTTTATTAGTTTATTTATTTTTTTATTGCATCAGTGTCCGTTCTAATAGATACATTGACATTGTCCCGACGACGACTCGTGCCGCAGCGAGGGTGATGTCACAGTTGCTGTGGCGCTTCTTACTCGCATATCCTGTGCTTTCAGGGAACTTCAGCTTCCTCTCTCTCCTCTGTCTAACCTCGCTCTCCAGATACAGTGAGTCACTCGTCACGGTCTGCGGCTGTGCGTCTCTCTCTCTCTCTCTCTCTCTCTCTCTCTCTCTCTCTCTCTCTCTCTCTCTCTCTCTCTCTCTCTCTCTCTCTCTCTCTCTCTCTCTCTCTCGGTCTGTCTGTCTGTCTGTCTGTCTCTGCCTCTCCTCCTCCTCCTCCTCCTCCTCCTCCTCCTCCTCCTCCTCTTTGTGTCCCTCGACTAAGGAAGCCAAATTGCAAAACATTTCTGTTGTCTTTTGCATACTGCAAATGTTTTAAATCTTATCTTCCGCCGGAATCGTTTTACGAGGCCTTGGTGGTTCGCTGACATGTGTGATCTGTGGAGCCAGTTCGAGGCGGCGTATATATTTTTGTGACGTCTCGCCCAGAATCAGGGACTCGCGTGTCTCGGTGCTGGTTGCATTTACAGTGCTAGCTCTGGGGACGGGGTGATTGATGTCATAGGCCTATGCATTTAATGATTGATGATGCTGGTTGCTAAGGAAGTAACAGTAGCAATAAAACGGTAACAGTAACAACAAACTGAACGACGAAAACAGCGAAAACAAAAACAATGGTAAGGATTGTTTTGGTACCTTTATGTCCATTTTTACATGCTGTTTTACATGTTTTTTTATATGTTTATTTTATAAAAGCCGTTAATCAAACAAAATGCCCACATCGTGGAAATGTAGAAAATATTAGTTTTGTTTGACTTTTTCCATACTTAAACAGAAGTGCTTGAACCTTTAGATATTTTCAAAAGTTGTCGAAAGTTTATGGAATCTGGAAAAAGTATCTAAAGATCATGAAACTGATACACGTTCATCAGTCTGTTTGTATTGTAGAAATCTATTTAAATCTAGTCATGATTCTCGAGTGCATAATACGCTGTGTTCTCTACCGTACTCTTTTGTTGCAGAATCCAAAAATTGAAACTGATTTAATTTGTATTTTCGCTTTCTTTCTGTTAAAAACATTAGTAATTGCCAATCACAAGGAAAATTCGCTTTAACACCTCGAGAGTAAGCGAAAAAGTCAGATTTTAATATAATTATTGTTATTTTTTTAGATGTTAGAGTGCAAGTTTCCTTTTAGTTCTTTTTAGATTGTCTCTCGCTCTCTCTCTCTCTCTCTCTCTCTCTCTCTCTCTCTCTCTCTCTCTCTCTCTCTCTCTCTCTCTCTCTCTCTCTCTCTCTCTCTCTCTCTCTCTCTCTCTCTCTCTCTCTCTCTCTCTCTCTCTCTCTCTCTCTCTCTCTCTCTCTCTCTCTCTCTCTCTCTCTCTCTCTCTCTCTCTCTCTCTCTCTCTCTCTCGGTCTGTCTGTCTGTCTGTCTGTCTGTCTGTCTGTCTGTCTGTCTGTCTGTCTGTCTGTCTGTCTGTCTGTCTGTCTGTCTGTCTGTCTGTCTGTCTGTCTGTCTGTCTGTCTGTCTGTCTGTCTGTCTGTCTGTCTGTCTGTCTGTCTGTCTGTCTGTCTGTCTGTCTGTCTGTCTGTCTGTCTGTCTGTCTGTCTGTCTGTCTGTCTGTCTGTCTGTCTGTCTGTCTGTCTGTCTGTCTGTCTGTCTGTCTGTCTGTCTGTCTGTCTGTCTGTCTGTCTGTCTGTCTGTCTGTCTGTCTGTCTGTCTGTCTGTCTGTCTGTCTGTCTGTCTGTCTGTCTGTCTGTCTGTCTGTCTGTCTGTCTGTCTGTCTGTCTGTCTGTCTGTCTGTCTGTCTGTCTGTCTGTCTGTCTGTCTGTCTGTCTGTCTGTCTGTCTGTCTGTCTGTCTGTCTGTCTGTCTGTCTGTCTGTCTGTCTGTCTGTCTGTCTGTCTGTCTGTCTGTCTGTCTGTCTGTCTGTCTGTCTGTCTGTCTGTCTGTCTGTCTGTCTGTCTGTCTGTCTGTCTGTCTGTCTGTCTGTCTGTCTGTCTGTCTGTCTGTCTGTCTGTCTGTCTGTCTGTCTGTCTGTCTGTCTGTCTGTCTCTGCCTCTCCTCCTCCTCCTCTTTGTGTCCCTCGACTAAGGAAGCCAAATTGCAAAACATTTCTGTTGTCTTTTGCATACTGCAAATGTTTTAAATCTTATCTTCCGCCGGAATCGTTTTACGAGGCCTTGGTGGTTCGCTGACATGTGTGATCTGTGGAGCCAGTTCGAGGCGGCGTATATATTTTTGTGACGTCTCGCCCAGAATCAGGGACTCGCGTGTCTCGGTGCTGGTTGCATTTACAGTGCTAGCTCTGGGGACGGGGTGATTGATGTCATAGGCC